ATTTGGCTGGCCCGGAACAATGAACTGTGGGAATCCGCTTGTCCTGCATTGATCTTCCTCCCATGGCATCCCCTGCAAGGCTGTCAGAGCGATGGGCGGATAAAAAGGCCCACAACATTTTTCTTTCCCCCGCTCTCGCTCCCTCCCGGTGTCTTTCTTTTCTCGCGGGGGGGGGGGGGGGGGGGCTCCCACTGATCAGCGGGGATGAGCTGAAAGTTGAACTACCTGTTGACAGGAGCTCTTAAACAGCCCTCAATGACATATTGTGCGAGAGAAAGCGGGGTGGAGGGGGAGGGGGGCAGGGGCTCCTGTTCATTCATATTTGTCACTGATCTATCGAGTCCGTGCTCTCATGAAGTCCTTGCTCATATTTTCAGGGGGTTATGTTAATCCCATGTTTTTTTACAACTTAATAAATGTTGGATGTTGTTTTTGTGTAAAACAAAAAAAGAAACAAAAAAAAGAAACAAACAAAGAAAGATATCTTTTTTTTTGGTTTTGTTTTAGAATTTGTCTGCTACAAATTGGTGCATAAGAATGCGGTTGGTGTTTTTGGCCAGCCAATCACAGCTCTGGCTCTTTCAGGTTCTTTCAGGCTCTAAGTAGTAGTAGTAGTAGTAGTAGTTTACAAATGATTGTAAATATATGTATTGAAAAAAAGAAATTGCATAAAAGTAAATGCGTGTCTGTTCATATTTGTAAGAAAAAAAACAATGTCCCCATATTTCGAATCAAATTGAGACGAGATCTGAACTGGGCCGTGTCGTCACCTCTTCTTCTTTTCCCCCTTTGAAGTCACAAATATCCATCTCTGAAGCTTCACATCTTTTTTTTTTGCCGTTGCGGAGTTGCGCATTTTGATCAAGAGGCACCAGGGATGGGATGGAGTTCGGATTGGATCTGGCAAAGGGGTTGTGTGACTGTCTTCCATGTGCAGTTCAGAGTGTTTTCGCCTCATTACAGAAAGTAATAAAGGAGTGAAGTCAAAGAGTGAGAGAGAGAGAGTAAGGAAAACAAGGCAGCTTCTTTATTGAATTAATTAGACGCCTCGCAAAGACCACCACAAAACCCAAGCCAGGTAGAAACTCCTATCTGGTCTGTTCTACCTCTGACTCCAACCAAACCCACTTTTAGGCTGTTGCTGTCGGAAATGACGAGGAAGTTGTACTTTGAAAACATTTGAAAACAAATCATTTGGATTGTCCCAGCAGCTTATGCTTAGTATTTAGCATTCAGCTCTGCATGTAACACATTGTCCCTTCAACCACAGACCAGTGCAGCTGCAACCCCCCCCGTCACATTAACGATTTGGTGGAAATATGATGGAATTCAGCGCATTGTGAATAATGATTGATTTGTTTAATGCAATGAATTACTTCATTAGGACTTAATGAGGTATTGCATTGTGATTAGTCGATGGGATCCGTGTCGATACATGTCAAAATAACAAAGTAAAGTCCAACTAATGGCTTTTCGATCCTTCAATTTCTCTCCATCTTGTCTTAAATGTCACAGCAAAGTTTTATGACAAAACTCGGGCCCTGAAAGTTAATTCAGGGAGCGTATTAGCTTGAAGTTGTTTATTTAAATATGAATTCATAATAGGTAGCTATTCCTAATATTGACACTGTCTTTCATATACTTTATGTGGTTACAATTAGGGAGAAACGCATACAAATCCCTTATGCATTTATGATTCATGGTACCATTGATAAGACCGGAATGAACTGAGCACATTCAAATGCTGACTGAAATACACTTCCATTGTGTTACAGATACCACTTATAATTAAGCTGAGGCTCGTCGAGAAAAAAGAGCAGAGGAGAAAAATGCATTTAGAGAAACTGAGTGAAATCAGTTTCTGTGCGCGTGCGCGACTGCGCGGAGGATTCTGTGTGTTTACGGGTGCACGTGGCGCTTTGCTGAATATTAAACCACAAACTATAAAGACAACAACTGAACCGTCGTGAGAAAAATGCTAAAGGAAGTCTTTGTGGTTTCAGAAGGTATCAGAGGGAGCCAATAGTTTTTAATGAGGCAGCATTGCTGTACATGCCAGGAAATGATAAGGTTATACAGGTTAGAGTAACGGCCGACAGATACTGTACCGGCATAGAGCTACAGAGTGGATGTGTTGTTCACATCGGAGTCGACACTGCCATGGCAGAGACACTGAGGCATAATGGGGACAAAGTGGCACCAAGTCTTTCCTTAATACAACGGGTAAGAATGACAAACCTGAGCCTCTATCTTCTAAAAGCAGAGTACAATAATACTGCGTACAGTTGTTTTCTTCCGTGCATTTGATGTGTATTTCTGCTGTGGAGTCGTAACAGTCAGGGTGAGCTGTTGTTGTGATATCTGTGGGCAGCCATTTGACAGCGCCGGGTGAGTCGCACTAGTGTGTTTTAGAGGGCATGCGCATATTGAATTGTTGTCTGTAGTCAAAGGGCTGTGTATGAGTGCGTGTCTTTGTCTGTGTGTGTGTGTATGTACTTGTACATCACCCTCAAATTCCTCGTATGTGTGTGTGTGTGTTGATATGAGCAGAGGGAGGATGTCACATAAGAAATGTCCTTTTTAATCAGGGGGAAAAAATATAAAATGACTGGGGAGCGGGGCGAGCATATTAATGTGTCTCATTTGCATACGCTCGTCAGCCAGGATACGTTTATAAAAAAACACAAACTGGATTCGTCAGTTCGCTTCACATTATTCCATTGTCTATCTGCCTTTGTTATATGTTAAAGATAAAGGCAGAAATCAAATTGAAGAAAAGGGCAAGCTGCTATCTCCCCAAATGAGCAACAGCTCATCAGCCTAGTTTAAATCACAGATTTCTATTCCAAAAGGCAGCCGCCTCCGTAAAAAGGGCCCATTCAAATAAGGTCTCCTCCGATATATGCACACCCCGTGATGGAAGCTGGGGGTGTCACATAAATACAATTTAAAACCCAAGCCATTCAAAGCAGTCTAACAAAGTTTTATCTTTCTCAGCAATTCTCTCCCAATATTATTCTCACCATAAATGTACACATATACAGCATGTATATGTGTATGTCTTCAATCAAGTATACATTTTTTTTATTATTAGTCTTTTACGATGCTTTATTTCTTAGATGAGCGCAGCATTATTCAAGTCACACGAGAGCACGGCCATAACGTCAGTCGTAAATTTAAGTGGGCTTTGACAGGGGCATATCTTGCTGTTCCCCATAAGCCTGCAGAACATAGCATGCCCATTATATTCTTGATGAATTCAGTAAAATTGCTTAAGATACTTGCGGGGGGAAGAAAAACAAGGAGAATTCAAAGGGCAGCCCACAAGTGTCACATTCCTTTAAACACAAGTGGAAGCTGCTCACAGTGTCTAATTCATGTCCGCAAGATTAGAATCCACCATGGACAGTGTGTTGGAGGGGCCGGTGGGTAAAAGAACAGGCACCCCTTATGTCTGCCAACCTCCTACTGACGGGCGATAGTGACGGAAGAGGGCAAAAATTCAAATGAAGGAGAAAACAAATGAGCCAAGCACAATGTGGAGTCCTCCCTGCTTTCGACACATACTGTAGGTGGAGAGAGAGAGAGAGAGATAGAGAGAGAGAGAGAGTCTTGAAGAACCTCAGTTGCCCTTTTTGCCTATAAAGTGTATACCGAACATGTGTGCACATATTTTGAATGTGGGTGTGCCCCCATTGCTGCCAGATTGTGTCCATAAGCTGAATAAAATGATCCCACTTTTCTCTAAAGTGAACTCACCTACTGCCAGTGCTTTACACTGCCTCTACATGAAAGGATTTCTTTTGATGATTATAATCATGCGTTATAGCACAATGGCTTCCACAGCATACTAATCAGCTTAATGAGATATTATACAATATTTTGTTGACCAAAGCAGAACCGTGGTTATTGTTTCTGAGGGTTTGACCCCTGCCAGCAGCCAGAGGAAGTGTGCAGATAGATGTGTATACCTCTCCATCTGGAGAGCAGATGGATCTGCATTAAAAGCAATGTTATTATTATTTTTTGGGGGGGTTATTTGTTCACTGATGTTACACATATGAAATGGATACACTTTCACTGACAGTACAACAGAAACATTGGTATGTTTTGGTTGCGTTACAGCAACCCTGGACTACAACGTTGCTCCGTGTCACACAGCAGGCAGAACAAATACAGTCAATGCTACCTGCTTTTTCCTCTCAACCGTGTGTCAACCAATGCAACTTTGCAACCCGTTCAACACAGCCAACTGTTGTTTTCTCTACCCTAGAAACTATAAAAAAAAGATCGAGGTAGAGAGAGGAAGACAAGCAGAGAGAGCGAGAATTGGGGGAATAGAAAGAAGCAGAGGGAGAGCAAAGTGATTCACATCAAATGTAGTGCGCATCTTTAATGGAATTTTGCGCCAAGACAAGTGTCGTGGCAACAAGATAAGACTGTTGTGTTTACTGGAGTAACCCCTTGGCTTTAAGTGCTATTGTTAATATCATAATTGTAGTATTGCGGTGGCTCCCCGACAATGCCGTTGCTCCGTTTCATTAAGGCGTGTAATTGGAGGAATTCTGATAGGATGGGCACAAGTAGCTTAATTATACACTGCTCACTGTGTTTACAGAGTAATTATTTCATCCAAAATGGTGTTACATTTTGAAAAAAGTTATATGGAGTCACAGCATTTCTCCAGGCCCTTGGAGCTGACAATTCTTGCAGTTTCTCTATGCATCAAAGTCAATACATTTTATTTCCCTTCACTGGGTGACACAGCACAGGTGTTGTTTTTCCTAAGAGAAGAATCACATTAGTCCTGAAGATATGGATGGATAATATCATATTTCCAATCTGGGAAGCAAATACTAAGAGCCCCATGCCAAAGTATTTTTCAAATGCATTTTTTTATGTTTTTTTGTCTTTTACTTTTTCTGAAACCTCCATTGTTTGAAACTATTTCTAGTTATATTAATTCTAAAATGTTTCCTTCTTTCTGTCTGGTTTTACAGGATGGAGGACTCTAGTTTGTGTCTTGGTGTGTCGTCAGCGGTGCCTGACGCTGATGCCCATCTGAGCAATGCTGTGTTAAATGGCCGCTACCCCATCAGCCAAAAGCTTCACCAGCTTACTGCCCAGTTAGGACACGCCTTTCCTGACCTACACCGCCCACAGCAGATCCCTGAAGAGAAAGCAGCCACACCTTTGGACGAGAAGACCCACCACGCGGCCCTGGCCAGTCAACCTATCAGCAGTCAGATGGCGCTGCTCGCCAATCAGCTCAACCGAGACATTGACGCAGGGGCACTAAGTGGGTTGAACGGGCGTGTTGACCTGCAGCAGTTTCTCAACGGCCAGAACTTGGGCATCATGTCCCAGATGAACGATATTGAAGATGACGCCCGCAAGAATAGGAAGTATCCCTGTCCACTGTGTGGCAAGCGCTTCCGTTTTAACAGCATCCTATCACTGCATATGCGCACACACACAGGAGAGAAGCCCTTCAAGTGCCCCTACTGTGACCACCGAGCGGCTCAGAAGGGCAACTTGAAGATTCACCTCCGCACCCACAAGCTGGGGAATCTTGGTAAAGGTCGCGGCCGTGTCAGAGAGGAGAATAGGCTGCTGCATGAGCTAGAGGAGAGGGCCATCCTTAGGGACAAGCAGATGAGAGGGAGCGGCAGTCTCCTCCAGACACCCCCAACACCCCATTTGAGCCTCAATAGCAGCTCTAACACCCATCAGCAGCAACTAGGCTCAGCCTGTGGCCTCCTGCTCCCCCCCCTCTGGCCTTGCCACTCCAGACCCAATTCCCCAACCCTCTTCTTCACCCAAGCCGGCCGGCACCCAGGATGAACAGTCCTTGAACCCCACTACAGGCTTCCGCTGTACCTTCTGTAAAGGGAAGTTCAAGAAGCGTGAAGAACTGGACCGCCACATCCGCATACTCCACAAACCCTACAAATGTACCCTGTGTGAGTTTGCTAGCTCCCATGAAGAGGATCTGATAAGTCATGTGGAGAAGGCCCACATCACAGCCGAGAACACACAGGGTACTGGTGGTGCCGGTGGCACGCAGGTGGCCACTGAATTCCGCTGTGAAGTGTGTAGCCAGGTGTTCAGCCAAGCTTGGTTCCTTAAGGGCCACATGCGCAAGCACAAGGACTCCTTTGAACACTGCTGCCAAATCTGTGGCCGTCGCTTTAAGGAGCCCTGGTTCCTCAAGAACCATATGAAGGTGCATCTCAACAAGCTGGCCATCAAGAACAAGCCACACCAGCCCAGTGAGCAGGACATGGCTGCCGTCAATAGCATGAGCAATCTAGCTCAGGAAGCTCATGCCAACCTTTACTCCCGCTACATCTCCTGTCTTCAGGGAGGCTTCCTCTCACCAGACAAACAGGGCCTGAGTGAGCAGCATCAACTGTTGGCTAAAGCAGGGATAGCCATGAAGGAAAAGGAGATGCTAGGGAAGCTGCTGGGGCCAATGGCAGGAGGTATGGGCCATGGGCTGGGAGAAAATGAGAAGCGCTCACTCCTGGGTTGTCTCAACCTTGTGCCACCACTGAAGTCGAGCTGCATGGAGCGCCTCCAAGCAGCTGCAAAAGTGGCAGAGATGGACTCCCTCAATAGCTACCAAGCCTGGCAGATAATGGCTCGTGGCATGGCTATGGACAGGGCTTTCATGCCTAAGGAGCAGCACCAGCATCATTTACCCCCAGGGCAGGAAGATGAGATGGGTGGTGCTGGAGCCTTGGCATCCTACTCAAAGGATAAACAGGACTACTTGATTGCTTCCAATGATAGCTCCAAGCAGAAGCAGCTCTCGGAGGCCTTGCAGGGCTCCAAGGCCGGTGGCGGAGCCATGATGTCCATGAAGGAGGATGGAAGAGGCTTTGACAGTCACCGTGACATAATGTCTGTCCACGGTAGTTCCGAGGCTCCTGGAGTCCTGGCTGGCTTGGGAAGCCCACACATTGACTACAGCCTCTCCGTCCTGAAGGAGAAGCCTTCAGAATGCCCCGACTGTGGCCGGGTCTTCAGAACCTACCATCAAATGGTCGTCCACTCCCGCATTCATGGCAAAGACAGGAGAGGCATTGAAGAAGCGATCCAGCAACAAGGTCTGGACGAACGGCGTGGATCAGCCAGTGACCCCGAGTCCCAGTCCATCAGCCGCTCCACCACTCCTGGTTCATCCAATGTGACGGAGGAAAGCGGAGCTGGAGGAGGACACTCCCAGACAGGAAGTGTCCAGGATGACAGCCCACATCCCTCCTCACCATCTTCAGGTAAGAAAAAATAGAATCAGACAATGAATGACTTTTTCTTTAGTCAGTCTGTAGATGAAGGGATCCAAATTCTATCCGTACTTGGGAATTATGTTTCCTTCTTTAATTCAATGTTATTGTCACTGTTCTAGAATTCTACCTACATAGTTCCCAATAAGAATCCCTTTTAAGCGTGTCTCGATGTGTGTATCTATCTTTGTGTCAACTCCATCTCTTTAAAACGGAATGCAAAATAACCCAAATACCTACCAAAGAATTACAGCCACACATTCCTCACATTACTCGGATACATAATGTCTTTGTTCAAATAACCACACACCCTCACACACCCACAGAGTGGTTTACTTGACACACACACACACATACAGCGGGAGTACATACAGATACAGAGATTTATTGAGTTGAAGTAAACCCTGTACTGCACATATCATATATACTGTAATGTACAGATATGAGTTGTATCACTTGACATAGAAACAATTGCCCCCTGACACTGCTGTGTTGTTGCTACCATTTACATTGAGCCAAACAGAAGACTCTAGAGGACTCAGTACAGGAATAGTTGCGCTCACCATAGCATTCACATGTGCATGTTAGCAGTCTGTATCCCTGCGGAACGAGAGTAAAGACGGGAAGCGTAGGGACAAAGTCGTTTTAACCACAGCGATTAATAAATGTCTCTAATAAACATGTTGAAGACAACCATACCCCTCCCCTCTCCATACCCAGCAAACACAGGCCGGCTGGGGCTAGATAAGTGTATGTTTAGTGGGATTAAGGGAGGCTCGTTGCTAATGATTACACAAGTTTTTAAAGGTAACTTTCGCTTGCTCCTCAGGGCACTATGCTAGCGTTAAGAAGCTCGCGCGGTAATTAGGTCACGACTACGCGATAATCAGTCGGTTTAAGCTAAACAAGACACTAATTAAAGATATACATATAAAGCAGGTCAAAAAAACAGTGAACTTCATTTGCAAAAGCGAGGATGTGCTTTTAAGTCTTTTGAGAAGGAGAAAAATATAAATAAATATAAATATAAATCAGAGTGGCTTAGCTTAAGGCTGTAAGCAACTTAATTCCACCAGTGGAGACAAAATTGTTTATTTATTCACAGAGGCATGAAGTCCTTATCGTGCCCGTGTAGTGTGATGGGTTTGAACATGGGACAGGCTATGTTTATTTTAATCTAAGAAATAATAACAGACAACCCCCCACCCCAATTAGGAATTAATGAAAATGAGAGTGAGATAAAAACCTATTTTCTTTATAGAGACTATTAAACATTACACTTTCTCAACAGGGTGGGGGTGTAGCGGATGTAATTATCTTCTGAATTTTAATGCTGGAAGTTTCTCTCTCTCTCTCTCTCTCTCTCTCTCTCTCTCTCACCCTCCCCTCTCTATCTCTCTCTCTCTCTTTCTCTCTCTGTCTGTCTCTTTTGACTCAAGCACTTTGAATCCGATGAGTAGAGCTTCTGGCATTTCAACAACTTCAGAAGTAACATCCAGTGTGCGGTATACAAAATAAAACAAGCGAATTACAGTAAAATAATAATTGAGAAATAAAAACCATTAGCATTTACCACCAAATGCTAACAAAGCACGAAGAAATACATTCGATTTAGCTGAGTGGTTAAATCTCGCCCCCTGGGCACCATCTTTGGAGGAGGGGGCGTAGGATTAAAGAAAACTATAAATACAAAATTAAAATAGTGTATCGACAACTTTGCACAAGAAAAAAAACAAAAAGCCTGCTGCTCTCCACAAGGCCTTAATGTTGCCATTCTTTGTGTTGTTTGTGTACTGGTAGTGTGTCTCACCTTGAGTCATGGGCTACACTGCTTGATACAGTGGCTCTATTCAAGCTCTTTGTCAATATGCCACTGTCATATCTGAAAGCCATGTCCTCACATTGTTATCGCGCAGCTTTGTGAGTGTGTGTGCCAAAATAGGATGTCAAGCCGTAGTTAACTGCTCGGGAGCATGGCAGAAGTGGAAAATAGATTCGTGATATAATAAAATGGTGAGGCATGCCCTGATCTGAACAGACCGGGGTGCAGTTTTACTGTACGAAAATGTGAGAAGTAAACACATTCTACATCAAATATTGATAAATATGCTGGTTTTGCTACTTCCTGCTTTTTAGTTTTTCTTTTTTTTATGAGACGTAGCGAAACTTGTCTCTCTTCGCAACTCACACAATGTGATTCACGTTTGGAGCTCAGGGACTCTCAAATTAGAAGCTTTGATGTGTGAGAAAAAAAATGTGTCTCTCATGTGAAGAAAGGTGTCATGTTTCTCCTCTGCATGTTTGTTGTGTGTGTGTGTGTGTGTGTGCGTGTGTGCTTTACAGTATGTGTTCATGTCACACTGTTCTGTAGTGAACAGGATGTGGCTACCGTACCATTGTCTTTCTCTTAATATCTAAGGTTTGAAAAAAGAACGGCTCATCAAACCTCTCCAAGTGTGTAGGTGTGTGTGTGAGCGTGAGTGTGTGTATCTGTGTATGTGTGAGCCGCTGCCCCGCCACCTACCCACAGCGATTCTGAGTTTAAACTTGAATTATAGTAATCAAAAATAACATCTCAACTGTGAAAGAAGGTCAACACCGCCGCTTTTGTCTTTTGAGACGGCGCTTGTTTAAAGGCAGGTAGTGAAAAAAGGGAGAACGGAGGAAGAAAAGAGCAGAAAAAACAAAGGCCTCTGTCAGAGATGTCCTTTAAAGACCTTCCGTACTACAATATAGCTCCACGTCTAACCTCGAGCATGTTTCTCATTCAATACAATTCTTGATTTCTTTAAAGAAAACAAAAGAGGTAATTACATTTATGCCCATCACCATCTTTTTTTATAAATGTTCTTATCCTTGGACTGTCTTCACCTCAGCGTTATTGTTTCCCCACTTATCCGGCCTCAAAGGAGAGAAAACACACTGTGCAGTATAGTAGTAACGTTAGAAATGTTCGGCAACAGGTACTTGATGTGAACGCATGTGCAAACACCCGCTGCTTAGAAAAAAAGCCTTTTTTGTTTTTGGCTAGCTCTTACATGCAAATAACCCCACCATTGAAAATCCTCATTTTCCACGATTGCGTATCTCCATTCTGCTGCAACAATGTAGGAAAAATGTAGCTAAATATGTAAAAAATAGGCTTTGCTGCACACATGTAAGGCCTAAAGCAGTTCTTCTTACATGCACCTCCACAACCTTCCCACTCTACCCCTAAACCCCTCTCCCACCTCTTGGCTCCCGGCTGTAAAATGCTCTATACACTCCCTCTGTTTCTCTCTCTCTCTCTCTCTCTCTCTCTCTCTCTCTCTCTCTCTCTCTCCAGAGAATCCCCCGTGTCTACATTTTTTTTAAGAGGAACAGCGTTTTAACATGGCAAGGATTAGCCTGCATATCCCTGGTCTTTACCGCGGCTCAAACAAGCAGGCAAAATGCTCCATACAAATTGAAATTGGATTTGCCAACTTGACGCCTTAGGTTATAAAGCATGGATATTCATCTAATTGCGTCGGTACAATGGGGGCGTAATTACACATGCGGACAAACTGTTACAGTGTAATTACTGTGTCATTAACAGGGAATAAAGTAGAGTTGAACAAGATCCAGACTCCTTTGAATATGCATGGCGACGAACCCGATCTCGCTAGCTATTATCTGCTAATATGAGATAATTCGAGTTGTCAACAGGCAAACATCAAAGAGGATTACCTTTTAACGATATTTATTGATGTTATTTTATCGTCTATGTCAGTCCAAAAATCACCATATGTCACACATCTGCTGTCTTTCTTTCTCTCTTCCTCCACTGTGACTTAAAAGTGTGTTTGCTCACGTAGGTTTCACAGTTGTTTACAGTTCTAGTTCATTCTGGAGCCACGCCCTAACTTAAAGTAGTGTTAGTGAGAATGAAGTGACGATGAAGAGAATAGCATTGCATACTATAAATCATAGCCCAACCCCCCTCCCACCCCCTGACCTACATACGTAAGCTAACTCACATAATGTACGTAACTTATGTCACGTATGCAACAAGCTTAATTTGCTCCACGTGCTTAACGTAATTAAGGCACTTGACTTATGTACGTCAAAATGCGGGACTTGCACCCAGGAGACCGCTGTCCATGTCCCGTGTGAGTTACTTAAGGTTACTTAACTTACGTCACATGTGAAACATATTTAATTTGTGTCTCATACATAATGTGCTTAACTTACGTACGTGACTCAATTTCCATAACAAACATAGCTATTCGAACCAGAACCATGATCTTTTCATAAACCTGACCAAGTTGCTTTGTTTGAATTCACAACGTGTCGAAGTCTATCACACTGCCCGTTGAAATACCACACTAAGAGGATACCCAGTGTGTTTCAAAAGTAATGCCAAGGGGTCCTGACCAAGCATCCGCATGGGATTAGTTACAACTGTTGAATCAACAGATCAACCAGGGTGGGTAGAGCTTACCTATTGTCAAACTGAGCCACATTTAGCATACCATTACTCACTACGAGAAGCCAGAATACCTACCACCTCAGCCAACACTTTGAAAAGGAGGCCAGCCCTCCGCTAGCGTGCGCGCCTTAATATACGAGTGTAAAACTGTGTGCATTAAAAAAAAATAATGAATTTCGTCTCGTTTTTTTTCCTGGTTTTCTCCCCTCTGCATAAATTACTTTTTCTTTGTAATTGACATCCGTTCCTCTGCTGCTCCCCCACCCCTCGCACCATTCTTCTTTTCTCTATAATCAGGGAACTCAGTGGTTACAAAACCTGAGCTTTCTACCCCCCACTCATTTGTAGGAGTCTGGCCTGTCATATCTGTATTTTTTTATGTGTCACCAAACTTAAATAGACAGTCATTGTGTTGCAGGCACAATCGTTCCCCGAGCTGCATTTTTGTACAGTAGGTCAGGACTCTGGTGTCTGGTAAATGATAAAAGTTCTATTCAAACGCACTAATTGTCAGTGTGCCGCGCTGATTGACATGTCTCGG